GGACTTGCAGAGGGACGCTGTGCGGCCCACGGACGAGGACTCTCCACAGATGCGTTACATCAGGCTTCTGGAGAACAGGCTGGACAAGGCCTTGGTGAAGTACAACGAGGCTCACAGCATCCGCAAGACGTACGAGCAGATTGTCGGGAAGCTGAGGGAGGACCGGGTCAGTTTCGACAACCAGTTGGGCATGATAGAGAAGACTCTGCGGGACAGGGAGGTGGACTTGGGCGAGTTGGTCCTCATGTCACACGATGCGAACCATGCCAGAGAGGTGGCGAAGCTGGAGCTTCATTCCATCGCGGACCAGGTGGCCACCGAAAGGAATCTGAGGTTTCGAGAGCTCAAGGAGAGGAAGCAGCAGATGAAAGCGAAGAAGGAGCTGCACGCGAAGATTAGAAAGAGGGAGAAGGAAAAGTACGAGGCGATCTCCAAGGAGGCTGAGATGGTGTATACCGACCTGAAGATCCAGAAGCAAGTGAAAGCCAAGCAGAAGAAGCAGGACGAGATCATCAGCAACAAAGTGACGACGTACGAGGAGGCATTCCAGAAGATCAAGGAGGCCACGGGAATTTACGAGGTGAACGAGCTCGTGCAGAAGGTCTTGAACCAGGACGAGACGAAGACGAACCTCAGGCAGCTCGTCAAGGAGAACCAGGCCAAGGTGGACCAGAAGCTGGAGGAGAAGGCCCTCCTCAAGTCGAGGCTCGAGGAGATGAAGTACACCGGGAGCCTGTCGGGTGACAACCACAAGGTCGCCGACCAGTTCGAGAAGATTCTGCACCAGGAGGAGGATCAGTGCATCCTCATGAGGGACCACTTCGAGCAATCGGCCAAGCTTCTGATCGAGATCAAGACGGGAATTCTTCACCTGTTCGAGAAGCTGGCGGAGATCAAGATATCCAAGGACGACAACTTGCTGCAGACTCAGCTGAACGCGACCCTGATGGACGCGATAGAGAACGACACGATCTCAGAGATGATGATCCTCATGGAGGCCAAGATGATGAAGGCGGTGGAGTATGTCCAGGATGATGAGGCCGCCAAGGCCTCCATAACCACCAAGGACTTGCCGGACCCCGGGCCAGGAAACATGAGGGTCTTCCTCGGCGTCGTGGACAACGGAGGTGACAGCGACAACTCGGACAACGAGTCTTTGCTCGATAGGGAGGTGCTGAAAAGCAACTCGAAGAAGCTGGAGCTGAGAAAGTCGAGGAAGTGATCGTGAGAGGGAGCGGTTCCCGAGCGCTTGGGCTGGGCTGGTTTTATAGATGATGATGATGATGATCATCATCAGAAGAAGAGAATATGTGTGGTGTAGTATAAAACAAGTAAAGGATTTTGAGAGGACCTCGATGAGACTTTGAAATCTTCGGAATCCTCCGGAATCCTCTGCGACGTCCCCACCGTCCTTGCCAGGGCCCTCGCCATTCCCAAGTCTGCATCATCGCCACGAGGTCGTCCCAATGTTGTGAGATGGTGTTTACGTGAGAGGATGGCACCTTGGGGGCACAATCCAATCGCCATCCTCTATCCTGGAGGTCGAGTCCAGCCAAAGCTCTGTGTGGAGTGGTGAAGCAAGCATCTTTTACAGATGATGATGATGATGATGATGATGATGATCATCATCATCATCAGAAGAAGAGAATATGTGTGGTGTAGTATAAAACAAGTAAAGGATTTTGAGAGGACCTCGATGAGACTTTGAAATCTTCGGAATCCTCCGGAATCCTCTGCGACGTCCCCACCGTCCTTGCCAGGGCCCTCGCCATTCCCAAGTCTGCATCATCGCCACGAGGTCGTCCCAATGTTGTGAGATGGTGTTTACGTGAGAGGATGGCACCTTGGGGGCACAATCCAATCGCCATCCTCTATCCTGGAGGTCGAGTCCAGCCAAAGCTCTGTGTGGAGTGGTGAAGCAAGCACCTTTTACAGCTTCTTGTTCTTCTTCTTCTTCTTTGACGACAGCTGCTTGAAGATGTCATCGATTTCAGACGCCGCTTTCGAGTCGTCGCCCTGACCAGGTTTCTGCAAGGGCACGAGGGCCCGCCAGGCGTTGCTGGGCTTCTTCTTCTTCTTGATGCTGCTGGAGGAGGAAGCTTCCACGGCCACGAAAGCGACGTTCGAGCGAGCGCCATCAAGGGGCTTGAGCTCCTGCTTGGGCTCCTGCTTGGGCTGCTGCTTGGGTGGCTTTCGCGAAGGAAGCTTTGGCGAAGGAAGCTTTGGTTCTGGTTTTGGTGGCTCCATCTTGGCCTTCTTCTTACGACGCTCAAGGGCCTCCCCCAGGTCCTCCTCCTCTCCTCCTCGGCACTTGTCGTCGATCACGCACAGCTCGTCCTCCTCTTCTCGCAAGTCCCTCTCCTCCCGCTCGACCTGGGTGTCCCTGAAGTCCTCCGGAAAGTGGCAGCACACTTTGGGGTACGGTGCCTCGGTCCAGCTCAACCGCATGAACTCCGGGGCTCTGCCACAAGAGCCAGTGCTGGTGTTGTTGTTGTACGACCGGACGCTCTCCGACAGCTCGTGCGCCAGGAGGACCCTTAGCCTCGCCACAAGGGTCAGAGCAACGAGGGAGAACGGCATGAAGTGCGTCCTCGCCAGAAGGGACGTCAACGTGGAGGCACACCTCGCAACCAGAAGTCCCAGGCGCTCCAGCTGGGCACAACTCACCAGCAGGGCATCCCTGTGGGTCCCTTGCAGAGCAGTGACTCGACCGAGGTACGCCTTGAGCGACCGAGCTAGCATGTCCAGCTCCCTAAAGTAGCGACCCCTCCGATGCTGGCTCCTGTTCTTCCTCAACAGCTTGCTCAGGACCAGCAAGTCTTCCTGACAGGAGGAGCGAACACAACCATCACCACCTCGCGCTGCTGCTGCCATCGCCATCTTAACGAAGAAGAAGAAGAAGAAGAAGAAGAAGAAGAAGAAGAAGAAGAAGAAGAAGAAGTTGCTGCTGCTGGCCGAGGCTATCGTTTGTCCCCTCCGTCGTCAGGTGTTGTGGTACGTCTCCCTGTCGCGGATTCCCCTCCAGGCGTCTTGAGCTCGTTCGAGGTGTTCCCTCGCGGAGTCCTTCCTCTCGCTGAGTTGTTCCTTGTCGATGGTTTCCTCGTTCTTGTTCCTTTCCATCAAAGGACCGGGACTCAGTATCTCGACCACGACTTGGAGGTCCTTGTCCAAACGCCGGAGAGCGACGGAGGTCTTCCTCACGAGGGAAAGGAACCCGGAACCGGGAAGCATCACCCACCGCCACACACACACACACACACACCCTCGATCAGCTGGAGTCTGCAGAGAGGCAGAGGCGGCGAAGAGGAAGAGAGGAAGAGGGACAAGGTGAGGGGAGTGCAGGGAGGAGGCAAGGCGAGGAGTTGACCCAATGTCGAAGAAGAACAAGCTGAGCACGCGGCGCAACCAGCACGCCTTCAACGCCGAGAGGGAAAAGAAGCTCGCCGAAGAACGCAAGGAAAAGGCAGAAAAGAGGAAGAAGCAGACCGAACGCAAGAACAAGTTGGGTGCTTTGGTCGTCAAGAGGAAGAGCAAGAGGGGCATTAAGCTCAAGAGGAACTCCGTCGTCAAGGGGATCAAGATCAAGAACGCCGCGTCAAAGGCAAAAGCAAGGGAGAGGCTCATGGCAGAGGCTGCCCTCAAGATGCAGGTGGACTGAGGGAGGAGGAGGAGGAGGGCAAGGGTCCGTGTTCAGAGGGCTGGGGGCTCTTGTTGCTGTACCATAGAGGGTGGTGGTGAGGAGCATGGGGAGCAGCAAGGAGGCAGGCATCGTATACGAATAGGAGGTTTGTTCATACCGTAGTATGGTAAGGAGGTTGTTGCTGTTCTCTCTTGTGATATAGGAATAGACTTGAAGAAGGAAGGAAGGACACTTTTGCTTTGTTGTTGTTGTTGTTGTTGTTGAGGACAGGAGGAGGTTAGGAGGAGGAGGCAATGATTGAGCTTTTCTCTCTCTCTCTCTCTCTCTCTCTCTCTGTGTGTGGGGGTTTCTGGTGGTGGCAGCTCTAACTGGCGTAGGGCTGTGTGCCAGGCGACTGCACGGCCTCAGGCTCAGTTACGACGATGAGAAGCTTTGTGGCTGGCAGTTAGGCCCCTCCCAGGTAATACGAGGAGACTTCTTCTTGGTCAAGGGGAAAGGTCTTGAAGCGTGGCGCGTGGGTAGTAGGAGAACTCTAGGCTCAGGACAAGTGCGTTGTTTGAGTTGCCATGCCGCGTGAGTCCTCGCCCGGCACCGGCTCGCTCGCTTTCTACCTCTAATGATGATATTGTTATACTAGGAGGATTACATAGTTCGCGGTAGCCCCGGTTGCTACTCTGGCGTCTTGGGCACCGGCGTGACGTACATCGCGGTGTGGATCTGCGAGGCGTAGACCATGGCCCACGAGATCCAGCAGCAGAACACCGCTGTGCCGTACAGCGTGTGCTTCAAAGGCTTCTCGGTGGTGCGCCGGAGCTGAACCCACGCCACGAAGATGCACTCCAGGAGCACGAAGAAGAACGTCCCAAGGAAGAAAGACATCGGACGGGTTGGGATTAGCTTACTCTTCTTCTTCTGATGATGACGAACAAAAAAAACAAGGGTGGAGGATGGAGAGAGAGGTGTCAGTCAGTCAGGGAGGACGGGATGGAGGCACGGTGGTCGCGAGGAGGACGGGCTGGGCTTAGCTTACCTTGTGTGGTTGGACGGAGGCAGAGACGCAGAGAGACGACGCAGAGACCTCTCTCTCTCTCTCTCTCTCTCTCTCTCTCTCGTTGGAGTGCGTCGTCGTCGTCGTCGTGGCAACGCGAGCAGAAAGGGGCCACGGAATCACGTATGCACGCGAGGAGGGCAAGACCGGATGCCAACCACTTCACTTCACTTCACTTCACTTCACTTGCGTCGTCGGCGTCGTCGGCGTCGTCGTCTTCGGGTGACAGAGAAACCTACTTCGAGTCCCCCCTTCCCCAACTTGGCGTGGGTTATATATATGTAAAATTTCGAGTAGAAAACATGTGTTGTTGCTTCCATAGCTCAGTTGGTAGTAGCGTCACTTTAGTATTTTCGCTCTATGACGTTAGAATGAAAAACATCGAGGTGAAGGTCATGAGTTCAAATCTCATTGGAAGCACTTTTTTTTTGCCATTTGCGGAGCCCTTCGATGTCAAAGAAGGCAAAATTTGGGAATGCTCTCTAGGATCGGCTTAGGATTAGGATCGGCTTAGGAATGCTCTAGGATCGGACAAGAGAGTCTAAGATGGGGTCGCTTCTCGCCTTCCTCTTCCCGCACACAGGACTCTTTTGTTTCTTGTCCCCTTTGCCATTGATGCGGTCAAGATATTGGCGGTGAAATCCTTTCCACTTCTTACCTGGAACTAGCTTATTCGCCATTTCAAATCGTTCCCCGGGCGTCCTCTTTCCAAACTCGTCAAGCAGCTTGTCAAGAATTTTGTCGTCTCTTTTGCCATTGAGTTCTGCGCCTCTCCCGTGAGGCAATGCAGCAGCGAGGTCGTCAAGTACTTTGTCAAGTCCTTCCTCGTCCCTTTCGCCATTGGATTTCGTGGCTTCTCCGGGAAACAACACAGCAGCGAAGTCTCTCAGAAGTGTGTCAGGTAGTGGTTTGTCGCCCACTCTGCAATTCAGTGTCGCAGATCTCCCGCGAGACAAGGTGGCAGCGAGGCCATATCGCGCCGCGGCTGCTTCCTTGGTGTCAAAGGTTCCCAATGACGATAATTCGTTCGGAACCATTAGTCCTGAAATCGTCGCATGGTACCTTTCACGACGCTTCAACACTCCCCGAGGAAGTCCTCCTTTTTTCTTGGAGGGGCCCGTGTTACAACTGGGACGCCGGTCCTTCAGTTTTCCAAACTCAGGGTTCCAATATTTCCACGAGTTGACAAGAGAATCCACGGTGGGGTCGCCCCTCGCCTCCCCCTCCCCATCGTCGACGTATCCCACGTCACCAACACCATCCCTTCCGAACGGCACAAACTCCCGTTCTCCTCGTCGAGCGAGAGAAGACGCTTCCTTCTGTTTGGGCCTCCGCCTCTCCCTCTCTTCCTCCTCCGCGCGCTCCCGTCCTCCTTTCTTTCTCCTCCTCGTCTCGTCCCCCTCGTGTTCCCCTCCTCGTTGCCTCGGGCCGTTATGATTCAGATTCAGCGGAAGTTCTCGAAATCCGACAGAGCAAGAAACAAAGGGGGGGGGGGTCGCTTCAAGAGGAGAGGGAGAGAGAGAACGGTTTTAGAGAGAGAGAGAGAGAGAGAGAGAGAGAGAGAGAGAGAGACTCCGTTGAATTTTGACAACATGTGTTTTCCTACTCAAAACACTCCAACATCCAACCAAGGTACGAGCTTGGGAATTCATGGCACCGAGGTGCTCCTCCCCCCTTTCTCTCGCAATTCATTTACGCGTAAGAAAGGTATATGTAGGCCAAACTCTCTCCCTCTTTCATCATACGTTCATACCTACGTGAAAATACCCGATCCCATCAGAACTCGGCAAGGGGTGTATATGTAGGCCAAGACCCCCACGTAAACGAGAGGACGTTCTTTTCTCCTCAAAGGACAACTCGAGAGGGGGCCCTCCTCGATTGATTGCAGACGTACAAGGGAGGGAGGACGGGCCGGTCCAAGCTGATGGGAGTGCAGGCTCGACGATCTTATCTGATTTGTGTAATATATACAGCTCACAAAAATACTCTTTACTCGTCCATGTCCACCTGATCACAGATGTCCATACAATAGAGGACATCACAGATTTTGTACCGTTTCAGATGCAGAATGCGATTCTGTCACATGGGGAAGTGATGGATGCGTCAACGGGTAATTGGAGTGCGGTGACGGCAACTGACTACATGATTTCAAAGGGTGCCGTATTTCGCCTTCAGCTCCATTTCGCTGATACACAAGCCCGTGTGCGTATAGGGTCAAGTGTGTACCGGCTGCCGTATGAATTCGTTGACGAACACCCAAATATGATGTTTTGGGGGATACCTCACACAGCAGATATCATGCCGAATCAGACTGTTCACACAAATACACAAGCCATTTTCGGCATTGATTTGGATGCCCGCGTGACAATTCGTATCGAATCGCCTGCACGGACATGTGGTTCAAACACAACAGCTTGCGACGACTATGTCTCATATATCGTGGTCAATGCCGATGCGCAGACGGATGGAGAACAGCAGACACAATCACAACGGTGCGCGCGCTTTTTTTTATTTTTAAAATCCGCTGATCCGCTGAAAAGCGGATAAAAAAAAATTGTTCATAATACCGGGCCGGTCCAAGCTGATGGGAGTGCAGGCTCGACGATCTTATCTGATTTATGTAATATATACAGCTCACAAAAATACTCTTTACTCGTCCATGTCCACCTGATCACAGATGTCCGCCCTGTACCCTTGGTCTCTATTGTAGACTTTGCTCACATCCCAGCCGGCCTTCTTGATCTGTCGGAAGAAGCGACTCCAAGCTGAGGTTTTGTGCGTTCCATCCTCCTCGTAGAATTTGTTGGCCTCTGCAACAATGTCAGATATACCTTCCTTGTCCAACTTGCGCCGTTTCTCCTTCAAATACTCGAAAGCGGTGTGCTTGATAGCTTGAGCGTGAACAAAGGCCCGGAGCCTGTCTTCCTCTGTCAGGCCACCCCGTAAGCTCACGTGAATCTTAGCAACGTTGGATCCACTCTCTCCCTTCCTCACCACCTCTTTAACTTCTTGCTCCGTGAGAGAAAGATTCGGTGAGAGAATCATACACGGACGGTCGAGAAGAGGAGAAAGGAGGAGGAATCAGGAATCAGAAGCGAAGGTCGACGACAGGTTCGTCGTGAGACATTGTTCTTGGTTAAGAATTAGCCTTGATCCAATCGACGACGTGGCGGTAGTTATAAGACTTCTCCGCCGCTCTTATGCAGTCCTCTGGGTCCCAATCACAAGGCGGGTCCTGGCTTCGAGCCCGCTTCGAGAGAACGTCAAGGTGGCCACCTCCTCGAGCCCACTTCAGAACAAGTCTCTTCATCAGACCCGCACCCCTCGCTCAGTTCAACCATTCGAGCAACTCAATATGACCTCCTGCAGCAGCTGCTACCACTCCATGAGCAAGGCGCCAGATATTCAAAGGAATACCCCGTGCGTGACTCACCAACCACTTGATCACCTTCTTGCTGCCCTGGAAAGCGGCGAGGTGCAGCAGGTCAGAGTCGTACGAGTGGTCGGAGTACTCTTCCCAGCTCCACCTTTTCGCCGCTCCCTTCTTCCACTCGGGGCTCGTCGCCATTGTCACCGCCTCGAGGAACGTTTTGCAGGTCAACCCGAAAGCGACCCGGTCGTAGTCGGCCACATGCTTGCCAATGACGCTCCACAGTACCCCCGGCAGCACCTCCAACGTATCCCTTTCCTCTGTCCTCTGCCTCTTGCTCTCCATCGTCTCCTCCATCATGATCACGTCCGTGCTCCTCAGATGATCCTTACCACCGGGTCGTTCTTCTTCCTCGGTCTGATCCTCCTCGAGGATCCTCGCAGACCTGCACCGAGGCAGCTCGAGGAGGGGGTCACCTCGTCCTCCTCCTTGTCTGTCCTTAGAAAAAAATAAAGTGTATGTTACAAAAAGGACTGTTTTATGGTGGTGGTTAATAATGTTGTTGCGTGTCTTGGCTTGGCTTGGCTTGGCTTGATAAAAAACAAAAACAAAGAAGAAGCTCTTGTGTTGCTCTTGCTCTTGTTCTTCTACTTTTGCTTGTCGAGAAGCTCCTGGGGGATGACCTCTCCCTTCTTGATGAACCTCCCCTTGTAGCGTGGCCTCCTGTCCGCGTTCATCTTCCTCAGGTGGTACCTGACCTTCTTGCTGAACCTCCTGTTCCTCTTCTTCTCCCTGTACCTCTCGAGGCACGCCCTGCGGTTCCTGGTGAAGGCGTCGACCTCCTCGTCGCTGGAGGCGGTGGTCTCCGCGCCGGATGAGGTCTGAGGGCTCCTCTCGAAGGCGGCGGGCGCCACCTGCGGCTCGGCAGGCGGGGAGAAGGCGAGGTTGTTGTCGTCCCACGCGTCGAACACGCTGTCAAAGCTCAGGTCCAGCTCGAAGGGGCTCGTCCAGTCCATGTTGTCCAGGAAGTCCAAGTCGGTCGGGACCGCGGGAACCTGAGGAGGCTGGGCCACCTGCTTTGGCTCCGGGGCCTTGAACTCCGGCACGATGGCCTCCTCGTCCGCGGGGGAGGACAAGTACGCGGCCGTCGAGGAGTCCACCACGACGTCGACCAACTTGTTCTTCTTCAGCTTCAGGTCAGTGTTGCTCTTGTCGGACCTCAAGGCTCCCTGGAACTTCTTCTTGTTCAAGGTGGCATCGAAGGCGTCGAGCGTCTGCGGCACCGCGGGGGCGCTCAGGAGGTCGTCGAAGGACGGAACAATCCCTGGAACGTTCACCATTGTTGCTTTCTTCCTTTCTTTGTTGTCAAGTCCTCGTCCTCGGTCGCGATCCTTCGCAAGGGTTTTGTCGTCCGGTCACGAGAACGCGAAACGAGAGAGAGAGAGAATCTGATTTGGTTGAAAAAAAGAAAAAAAAACGAAAACGTGTAGAAATCGGGTCTTAGGGGTTCCCCACGTGGGGAAAGAGATGTCGGCCGTTCTGGGCCAGAAGATTTAGGTTTAGAGCGTTCTGCGCCTCAGAGTCTGTGAGAAATATCTTATCTCAGGACGGAAGATGGGTTTTCTACTCTCTGGAGAGATACGACGACGACGAGAGACGGACAGCTCAAGACAAGCGAGAGGTCAGAAACGCGATAAGGTTTCGTGGGAGCCACACAGGAGGTGCTGAGTCACGCCCAATCAGGACAAGGGCCCAACGAGAGGTCGGAAACGCGATAAGGTTTCGTGGGAGCCACACAGGAGGTGCTGAGTCACGCCCAATCAGGACAAGGGCCCAACGAGAGGTCGGAAACGCGATAAGGTTTCGTGGGAGCCACACAGGAGGTGCTGAGTCACGCCCAATCAAATGGAGGGAGGGCTCTCTCTCTTCTCTCTCTCACTCTCTCGTCTTTTCCCTAAACCCTGTCCTTTCTGAAAGTAGAACACATTGTGAGAGAAAAAGAAAGAAAGGTTGTGGGTCTCCCTCCCTCCTGGCAACCGAGCGACGAGAA